AGTTCCATCAAATCTTTCTTTAAAAATTTATTTGTTTGTTTGTTTGTTTGTTTTTAGAAAAAATGTGAAGGGAGGAAGAAAGCACGCCCCCAGCCAGGGATCTGGCCTGCAGTCCAGGCATGTCCCCTGACCCAGAATCAAACTGATGACCCTTCAGTCTGCAAGTCAGCTTCCAATCCACTGAGCCACACCAGTCAGGGCCCATCAAATAATCTTAAGAACAAAGCCTCGGGTATGATGACCACAGAGGCAGAGTTTTCGTCAAACTAGAGATAATATCTAGGCCTCAGTTGTGTTTCAGCTCCAGGCCCAGAAATGCAGCAAAACCAGACACGTGACGCCATGGCTGACAGCAGGACCAGCTTCAATGCCTAGTGACCCCCTATCCTGGTGCCAGTCAGTGGAGACCATGACCCTGAGGAGACACAGCTGGAAAGCTGGTAACTATTCTATTGAGATCCTATCCCCAGACCTCCAGAGAAAAGTTCTTCAGACCAAGGGCCCAGTTTTCTCTAGTTCTCTCTCTCTCTCTCTCTCTCTCTCCCCCCCCTCCTCTCCCCTGAGCCTTTCCCCCTCTCCCTCCCCCAAGTGTGTACCTTTGCTTTCTTTCTCCTGATCTCCAAGGGCCCTTCTTTTGCTTCTGTAACTTGTTTCCTGAGTCCACACAGCCCAGCTGGCTCCCTTCCTCCACTGCTCACTTCTTCAACTGTGACCTTCTACATAAACTTTTGCTTGTATTTGAATCTTGACTATGAACTATTTCTTAGCCAAAACTCAAGGGCTGAGGTCTAACATCTGGTGCTGTTCACCATTAACAATATGAAGAACTACTAATATGGCAACTTTGGTCTTTGAAGCAGGATGATATACTATATTGTCCCTTTAGATATACAAGGGATTTTGAAAATGAGGCAGTTTTAATCTCTCTTCCTCCCATATTGCTAGCGTCTTTTCCTTTTGCTCCTTACCATACAAAAATCATACAAAGATCCAAAGAGACCCTTTCCTGGCTTAGAAAAGCAAGCCTAATTGGATTTCTCCCTCCCTTGGCACTGACTGCAAGCACAACACCCCTTCAAGTTCTATGGAGTACCAACCGTGGTCCTGGGGCCTTGCTAACACTCTCTGCAAAGATGATCTTGTTCAATGTTCACAGCGACATTAGTCCCCACTTCTCAGAAACAAGCTCAGAGAGGTAAAACAACTTGCCCAAGGTCACACAGCTAGGGCTAGGAGCCAGGACTCCCTGATTTCAAGTCCAGGCTCTTTTACCCACTGCCGAAGGAAGGAGGATATAGCCCCAAGTAGGGAAAGGGGGCATGCCCTCCTCAGAAACCTTGGGACTTTCTTTCATTCTCTCAGGTCTGCCGCCAGGCAATGCTGTATAGACAGCTTTCCAGGTAATTTGAGAGTTTTGGAATCCATGGCAAATTGTGGTCACCTGCAGCCAAATCTCTTCGCAAGAGGATTTTTGCAGCACACTCTATACACTCTCTATACAGACCTAGGAGTCCTCACTTGCTGTGGCTTAGAAGTAGGACAACATTTGAAGTCCAAATCATACAGCATGCATCACACACCTACAATGTGACAGGCACAGTGCTTGGCATGGTTTTTCCATTTCTCCTCACAAATACGCTGGCATGCAAGGTGGGCAAAAGTAAGTTTACAGTTATGAGCATGTGAATAAAACACAGAGTTTATTCTTATATTATTATTTATTAACTACTGTATTATTTTCCATGCAAACAATGGTAAACCTCCTTTTGACCTAACCTGTCCTAACTCAGTTTTACCGAAGTAGAAACTATGGCTCAGAAAAGTTAAGTGACTGTTCCAAGGTCACAGAGCTTGAAAGTGACAGAGCTGATATTCAAAATAAGGTTAATATCACACTAAATTATAGAAAATATGGCAAAGTAAACCAGAGAAACTGAAATGTAAAAGTCACCTATAAAACTGGAATGGCTGAGGGTAGTACACAAAGATCAGGAGAAACAAAAAAAATGTGGTGGATAAAACTTAGGCAATCTGGCTATACCAAAATTGAGAATCCATAAGTAATTCCACATCTAGGAATTTATTCTACATAAAGTTTTAAGCAACGATGTATGTATATAAATTGTCATTATATCATCATTAACATTAAAAGTTTGGAAGCAACCTATATGGCCATCAGTGGGGGACTATATGAAGAATGTGTCCAGAGCAAGTAACAGGAAGTCCAAGCAGCAGTAGCTGACATAAAGAGGGGCTAACATTTCTCATGTAACAAGCCCGGAGCAAGCTGCGGCTGGCATTGGCTCAGTGAGCTCCGTCAGAGCCAGCCTCTCTAATTCCCTTGGCATTTCCCTCAGAGTTGCAAGAAAGTGCACTTGTACTGTAGATATAACATCAGTATTCTAGGCAGTGGTATCTGTTCTCTTTATGAGGAAATCAAGAGTTTTCCCAAAAGACTCCTAGCAGACTTCTGCTTTGAACTTATCATCCAGAGCTGCATCATATGGGCAAACTGGCTGCAAGGGAAGATGGGAAGGCAAGTATTTAGGGATCCAGCCTACACGATAGTTGCAAGCATAAAAAGATTTGGGAATGAGTTTTGGATCAGCCAACCAATGGTTTCTGCCATAGGGGCTGGTTAAATAAACTATGGAACAACTGAATGATATAACACTATGTAGCCAAGACAGAAAGACAGAGCCCCTGAAAAGCATCCCCCACCCCTACCCCATCACCTCCCTTAGGCTGAGACCCAGGCTTGGTCCACTGAATGCTCTGCTGGTGGAACTTGCTAGAAATCCACCCTCTCAGCTGGAAAACCACCCGCTAGGATGCTGAAAAAATCTCCTCCCAGAAAGAGGCCTCTCACTGCAAGCACTCCACTAGGAAAGCACACAATGGGGAGGGGCTGACGCCGGGGAGCAGCCAGGTGCTGCTGGTCCCCGTGTGCACAGGAGCCTGCTGCTGGAGAAGCCATCCTCGGCAGCCGGGCATGGGGCAGCCACGCATGCTGCAAGGCCTAGAGAGTGAGCACAGTGGAAACAAGATGGAAAAACCTTTCCCTTGCCCCTTCCAGTGTCTCTACAGAAACCTGACTGAGGAAGCTTACCATGCTGCCAGTGGGCAAAGGAAAAATATTTAAAGGTCCAGATCCATTTTCACAGAGCAGGCAAAAGGGATGGATTGGAGCCAAGAGACAATAAACAGCACAGTTTCTCAGAACGGTTCATATATTTAGACTACAGTTTTCCTCAACCAGTGGTTCCCCAAGTCAGAAAGAGGAGAACTAAGAAGCAATGTATCCAAGGTGAGGTCTAGAAATCTGTGGGGTTTTTTAAAAAGATTTTATGTATTTATTTTTAGAGAGAGGGGAAGGGAGGGAGAGAAACATCGATGTGTGGTTGCCTCTCACATACTCCCAACCCCCCAACAGGGGACCTGGCCTGCAACTCAGGCATGTGACTGGGAATCAAACCCTGCAACCTTTTGGTCTGCAGGCCAGTACTCGATCCACTGAGCCACACCAGTCAGGGCTAGAAATCTGAGTTTTTAATAAGCTCTCCAAGCACTCTGTTGATGGAGAGATCTTTGGAACTACTTAGAATGAGCCCCTTTGGCAGAATCCTTGGGTATTCCAAGGACAGAACTGCCTTGGTACTGTGTGTATGTATAGAGGGGTATGTGCATGTGTGTGGGTGTGTATCTGTCTGAAGTTCCAAACGTTGGTACGCCTGTTTCTCTGGAAGTGTTCTAGGCCCTCTCTGCCTCCATCTGTCTTCACCCACGGCTATGGGGCTCACGCCTTTGTAGCTTCACTTTTCCGTCTCTTTCTATGCCTGCCTCTCAATCTGAATATCTCTACCTCTCAAACCATGCTCATTCTTGTCTTCCAACATTTGTACTTGCTATTCATTCTGCTTCCTTCCTTCCCAAATTGCTCATCTTCCTTCATCATGGAGAGGTTCATAATGAGTCACCCCAAGATGAACCTCTGTGATATGTGGATTATTTTGAGCTAAAGGCAACTGAGCTCCATTGCACTCAACAGAAACTTCTGTACACCCACTCCCAACTACTAGAAGAATTTAAATTAGGGGTCTTGCCCATAAGGTTTATCACCAAAAATAACTTTCGATGACCTATCTATGTCAGGGCAAACTTCTCATTACTGAACTTCTGCTCTTATTCTGAGAATGATCTTCCTTCCCTCTGAAATTCCAAGCACCTGACCTCATCCTTAGCGCACAATGTCATGTATTTATTTCCCCTTTCTAACTCAGGACCGATTCTGTACGTGGGGTCTCTGGCTCATGTATGGGGGGTTCCCACATGTTATTAAATTGGGTTATTTTCTCCCATTAATCTGTGTCATGGCAACTTAATTATTAGATAGAGAAAGAATCTTGGCAGGTGGAGGAAAGTTTCTTCCTACTCCAGCATCAGAAAAACCTGTACTCTTCTCCTTAACTCATTTATTACCTCCGGCCAAAATCTCCTCTTCGACTGCCTGTCCTGTCCTGTCCCCTCCCCTTTCCCTCAACACACACACACACACACACTCCAGCCTGAGTTAGAGATCCTTTCTCTGCTCCCATGACACATTTCCTTTAACACTGCAATATCATGCCATGCTTCGTTGGCTCCCTACAGGGCTCTGTCTTTTCCATTACTGCCTTTTGGATGCCTAGTACAGTTCTAGCTAATGGTTGGGATTCAATAGTGACTGAGTGAACACAAGAGGTTGTCCTTTTAGGGTGGGACGGAGCCTGTCCTATTCACTAAGGGGCCCTTGTATTCCCAAAGCCCCTAATACGAGCCTGAAACAGAGCCTGCAGTCCACAAGGTGCCGACCGGAGGTACAGGCCAGCCCAGCAGGTTGCACCACCTCGCTCGGAAGCGAGTGTGTCCCAGGCCACGCCCACCGGAAAAGGCAGAGTGACCGGGCGGCCCTAGGGTCGGGTGGGTGGGGCCCACTCCCGGCTGGGCGGAGGGGGCGGGGCGTGGCCTGCGGGGGCGGCTCCCCAGGGCGCGCAAGCCTGGAAACCCGGCAGCGCCACTGCTCAGAACCAGGAGAAGCGTCGCTACCGTCGCCACCCACGGTCCCTTCAGCCATGCCGGTAAGTGTCCGCCCGGACACCGCCCCTGCCCCGCGTAGGTCTGCGGCCCCCTGGTTGAGCCTCGGCTGCACAGTTACCTGGCCAGATGTCGCTCTTCCAGGGCACAGGCCGCGCCGGGAGCTATTGCCCCTTCTCAGCCCTCCCCACCCCAGCCCCTGCTTCTGCGAAGCTCCGGAAAGTCTATAGTGAAAGCGGGTTTTAGGTAAAAGTCAGGCTTTGGAACATCGGAACTGCAAGGCCTCCAGCGATGACTGGCCCAGATCTGCCCTGCATAGACGGGGAAACTGAGACCCAGGGCAGGGCAGAGAGGAGCCCGCGATCACACAGGGAGTGGATGGCGAGTGGGAACTAGGACTCCCTAGTCCCTGCGCCTTCCGCCTGGGTGCACTTCTGCGGAGCTGGCCTTGAAAGAGGGGCGGGGGAGGGGTGGCTAGGGCCTAGTGGACCGGGAGGGTTTTCAGAGGTCCCTGTTTTTCTTCCCTTCCCCTGCCCACTGTGGCCGACTTTCAGGTAAGTACTGGGCGACACTGAATGGAGACAGTGGGTTACCAGTCACTTTCTGAACCTGAACCCAGGAGCCCCAGAGAGGTTCAGGGACCTGCCCAAAGTCTCCTTTTGCTCAGAGGCAGAGTTTGGGGAGAACTGAGCAGGTCTTCACCAGTCTTTGCAGCTCACTCAGTCTCACTGCAAATATCTGGTAGATAAGAAATTAAGGCCTTTTGGTGCACTTTCCCTCTCAGGAGCACACCCCCGCCTTTCCCTACCTCTTCACCTCCCCACCCCAGGCTTGTTATCTTTGTCCTCTCTTCTAAGCTCCTAGGGCCCTTCTTTTGCTTCTGTAACTTGTTTTGGAAGCCCAGCTGGCTCAGCTCTGTAACTGTCTAAATAAATTTTCTCTTATAATTTTAAAAAAGGAAAGGAGGGAGGGAGGAAGGAAGGAAGCAAGCTTTCTGCAAATTAAAAAAAACCCCAAAGCCCATAATTTACACAAGGTCTTGTTGGGAGGTGGATGGAACCAGGACTAATTCCCTTATCTTCAGACTCCCAGCCTCTCCTGGCCTGGCCACCCCGTGGTAAGTGCTGACAAAAGTAGTCAGTTGGCTTGGGAGGAAGTTGTGATCCCAGCTGCATCCCAATTGGGTCCTGGCCTTTAGCACTTTCCCCTGGGGGGGCAGGGGGCTAGCTCACCATTCTGCTCCAAGTGAGTACTCAGAGGTGTCTCACAGGTGCCCTGTGTCTTAGCATCCTAGCTTTGGGGAAGCTGACAGGTGAGCCAGAGGTCCCCTGGGCCAAGCCACAAACATTGCAGGTGTCATTTTCCTTGGATCTTGCCAAATGCCTTGGGACACAGCCTCAGACACATGAAGTATGGACTAAGAACTTGACAGCACCGGCCCTCCCAGTTCAACAAATCTGCCCATGATAGTGTTAGTGGATGGCATTCATCACACCGAGACTGGATAGCGGAGGCCACCAGGCTTTTGTTGGGGGCGCAGGGTGGCAGTGGAGGAAGGCCAGCTTGAGGATCACTATCCTCTGTTCACTTCTGGGGATTTAGACAAACAAAAGACCCTCCAGAGGGGATGATCGGTGTGAGGAGGGCACTGGGTGCCAGGTCACGAGACGAACAGCTGAAGGAAGGAGGATTTAGGAGAGGGCCTGCCATCAGAACTGGAAGGGGAAGACTGTCTCCTGAGAGGTTTCTCAGACGCGTGGAATCTCGTAAACCTTTCTGGAAATCTGTGCCCCTGCTTGCCTACCAGGTGACCTTGATTAAGCTGCTTTACTTCTCCCTGCCTTGATTTCCTCATCTGTAGAATGGGGATAAAAACTGACCTGCCAGGACTGTTGTTAGTTTGAACTGGGCAAATGCCAGGAAATTATTCGGCACAGCCACTGCCATAGGGAGTCCACAAGGAATAGGAGCCATTGTGTAGACCTAGGACAAGTAAGGGAGAACTACAGCAAGCAGATTTCAAACCCCATGTTAACAAGGACTGCAGTGGTGAAGAGTTCAGGCTTTTGAGACTATGTCCGGTCTAGGCCCTGCCACTCGCTGGCTGTGCCACGTTTAGTGACCTAACCTGTGAAACTCAACTTCCTCATTTGTTAAGAAAGGATAATAATAATGACTTACTCATGGGGTTATAATGATTAACCAATGTAATTCATAGAAGGTGCTTAGGACAATGGCTGGCACGGAGAAGTCTCTCAAATGCTATTAGTAGTAAAACTCTCCCTTATTCAGGGAATTCAAAGACTGACTGTCCTGGATAGCTGAGAAAGAATTCCTTGACTGAGAGGAGCTGGACAGGGTGACTCCACTCCATTCCTGCCTTGCCAAGTCTGAGAGTCTGTGAAGGAAGAGTGCAATTTTGATCAGACTTTTTCATCAACTTTAAAGGACCCGTTTTTAGAGGTCCCAGAGCAGAGGCTCTGAGGGGCTGGAACTGCACAAGGTCAAGCGTTCATTGGTGGGCTAGTCTTGGGATTCCCTGTGGAGCATGGCTTACTCTGTTGGTTAAGTAGGTTTTCCACCACCCCCTACTTTACTTTTTCAACTCAGAGGTAGAGGAGGAGAACACTGAAGTGTCATGTTTACCACCCAGAAGCCACCTTCTGGCTTCTGACCTGTGTGCTGTGGAAGTTGGAAGGAAACCTGCTGTCTATAGTCTGCACAGCAGGAAGCTTCAGATGTCTGTTGACTTTAGGTCCTTGGGCAGCAAAAACTCATGCTACTTCACAAGGTGTTCCCACTCTCAGAGGTCTTGCTGAGAGTCAGGGTTGCAGGCGTGGCAGTGCTGCTTGCTGGTCCAGAACCAGCAGGGTGTCCCAGGAGCCAGGAAAGCCTGGGTTCACATCCCAGCCTCAGCACATGCTCACCATGTGACTATGGGCATTTTAATTAACCCCTGAGTGAAATAAGGTGTCTAGCTCCCTTTCCAGGCTGGGAGAGGACTCTCAGGTACCAGATAAAGAACATTGAGTACATAGTGGGTACACAGTAGATGTAGGTCTTACATCAGTCTTGCAAACCCTTTAAACCTTAGAATGGGTATAGATTTGCAAACCACTGACAAATCTTGACCATCTGTTGTTTGTTCTAGACCAGGAGTCAGTAGACTTTCTTAAAGGACCAATAGTAATACCTTAGAATTTGCTAACCATGTGGTCTGTTACAAGTACAGATGTACCTGGTTTTATCTGCAGTTAGCTTTGTTGCCCTCCACAAATGGGGGTGGGGTGTTGGGTTTGTTTTTTTTTAAACAAATTAAAAGCAAAACACTCCACCAGCAAAAGATGATAAAGCACCAGCTTGCTTTATGGAGAAACCCACTATATTGCGGTGCTCTGGAATCGGACTCACAATATCTCTGAAGTGTGCCTGTCTTGAGGATACAGCAATGAACTGAACAAAGCCCCTGTCTCCTGGGAGCTTAGTTTATTAGATATCTTGCAGGCTGTAGCATGTCAAGCCTGCATGAAGCGTCCAGGAGCCTGGGTTCCCTTATTGATCTGTCCTTGAACTCCCTGGGAGTGCATGCAAATCCACTCCCTTTCTAGCAGTTAGGTGATGCCTCTGAGAATTAGCATTTGGATGAGAACAGTGGCCACAATAGAGAAATCAAGATGGCAGAGGAGTGAGTGGAAGTCACACTGACCTCCTTCCAGGACCAATCTGGAATTACAACTAAATTGTGGAGAGATCACCTGGAATGAACAACTGAACAGTAGTGAGAGAGGAGCCTTATAACCTTGGACAGACAGAAGAATCAGCTTTAGCACAACCTAACTGGTAAGGAGTGTGGTAGAGACTCAAGAAGGCAGGCAGCAGCACCAGAAGGATATTGAAATGGCCAGTTGGATCCCTTTGAGAAGAGCAGGGTCTAAACCATAAGTGGGGATCTCCAGCCTACGGCACCAGAGCCCAAAAAGTACACAGATAACAACCAGCTGTGAAAAGTGGCAGGGTTGCTCTCTGCCAGAGACACAAAGAGCCTTTTAAAGGGCCAACACATAAATTTTTATTTGCAGCCACTTACCATGGTCTCCGGCAAAGGTGGGGGCAGAGTGGGCTAGAGATGCCTGAAGAGAGACTGGGGAAGGAGGCTTTGGAGAGAGATCTGAGAGAGTAGCTGGCAGGATCCCAGTGCTGACTCATCCCCCATACAGCAGCAGCCATCTTGTTCAGGCAGACCACACCCCTGAACGGGAGCAATGCGAGAGGACACAATAGCCCCGCCCCCAGGAGGGACTCTGCCCGGGCCCAGTGGTGCTAAAGCCTGACGGCTGAGTACAGAGTGGCAGCTACAGATAGTAGATCCCTGGCTAAAGGGGGCACAGAGTGATCTAGAGGCACTTGAGGAGAGACTGGAGATGGAGGTTTTGGGGAGAGAACAGAGAGTAGCTGGCAGGATCCCGGTGCTGACTCATCCCCCATACAGCAGCAGCCATCTGGCTCAGGCAGACCATTCTCCTGAGTAGGAGCAACAGGAGAGGACCAAATTACCCCACCCCCAGAAGGGACCCTGCCCCACCCTATGGTGTCTATGCAGGCCTGCTGAGTGCAGAGTGACTAGATTAACAGCTGAAGGAGACAGCCACAGACAGTGGATTCCAGAAAGTCTCGAACAGACTGCTAAGTCTGTTCAACATCTGTCATCATGAGAGGCAGATACAAAAAGAAAAAACAATGGTCTCCTCCCATAGATGTACACACCACAAAATCAGGAAATCAAGACATCAATTTAAGAAGCAGAAGCAAAAAACAAGAGTCTCACAAATAATGGGGAGAAAAAGAAACACCCCCCAGTCAAAAGGAAGGGAGGAAATCCCAGAAAGAAAACTAAATGAAATAGAGGGAAGTAAATGATCAGATACTGAGTTCAAAATAATGATTCTAACAAAGCTCAGTGAGCTCAGTGAGAATTACAAAACACTACAGAAAACTGAGCAGATTATTGCAAACTACATCAGCATGGAAAAGGACCTAGAAACTATCAATAAGAGAAGAAAGGAAATGAAGAATAAAATTTCTGAATTGAAGAACACAGTAGACGGAATCAAAAGCAGGCTAGATGAAGCAGAGGATCGAATCAGCGAGCTGGAGGATAAGGTAGAAAAAGCCTCCCAGAAAGAGCAAGAAAATGAAAAAAGACTCAAAAAGAATGAATGGGCATTTAAGGAAATTCAGGACAACCTGAAAACGTAACAATATCCATATAATAGGGATACCAGAAGAAGAAGATGAGGAGAAAGGAATAGAGAACCTGTTTGAAAAAGCAGTGATGGAAAACTTCCCTAATTTGAGGAGAGAAAAAGTCACACAAGTCCAGGAAGCACAGAGGGTCCTATTCAAGAGAAACCCAATGAGGCCAACTCCAAGACATATCACAATTAAAATGGCAAATATCAAAGACGAACAGAGAATCCTAAAGGCAGCAAGGGAGAAAGAGAAAGTAACATAAGGGAGCCCTGGTACAGCTAGCAGCTGACTTCTCAACAGAAACACTACAAGCCAGAAGAGAATGGCAAGAAATATTCCAAGTAATGAAAAGCAAAGGCCTGCAACCGAGACTGCTCTACCCAGCAAGGCTCTCAATTAAAATGGAAGGCGAAATATGGCATTTCCCAGACAAAAGAAAGCTAAAAGAATACATCTCCATCAACCCAGCATTGCAAAATATGCTAAAGGGACTACTTTAAGGAGATGAAGGAAAAGAGTCTATGAATACCCAGTTCCTTTCACAGTCACCAATACTTGATATTACCAGTATTTTTAATACTTACTAATCTGATTGTGACAGTGATGTGTTATATTAATTGTTATTTTATTATTTGTTGAAACCAAACCTGTTTTTGTATATTTCTTGCCTATTTCTATTATTTTTAAAAAGCTTTAAATGACTTTTTGGTATTCTTTATCCATTTTTTGACTAAATGTAGAATTTTTACCCTAAAAAAGAAACCCAAATTATTAACCCTTTTTAGATGTGTTGCAAATACTTTCCTATTCTATTACTTGTCCTTTAACTCTTTTTACATGAATATCACTGTATAGTCTTAAATGTTTAATATAGTCATATTGTCAATATTTTACTTTATAGCTCTTGGGTTTGAATATTTTACTTCAGGGTAAGAAAAATATTATTTTGTATTTTCTCCTAAAACTCCTTAGATTTTGCATATTGATTTTTAACTCACCTGATTTTTTTTTATAATATGTGAAATAGGGCTCTATATTTGTTTTATTTCAAGTAATAGTGGTTCATGCACCTTATTTGTTGAATAAGCCTTATTTCGCCATTGATTTGAAATATCAATTTACTCATATATTACATTGTTAGATATATACATTTGTTTTTAGAATACTCATTTTATTTCATCAATCTACCTGATTATTTCTGTGCTAGAGTCATGTTTTAATTGCTGAGACTTTATAATGGATTTAAATTTTTTAATATTTTATAATGGGTTTTGACATTTAAAAACATAAATAAAATCAATCTGCATTTAAAAAAAGAAAGAAAGAAAGAGAAGGAACTCCTACCTCTTGCGACAGCATGGATGGAACTGGAGACTATTATGCTCAGTGACATAAGCCAGTCGGTGAAAGACAAACACCATATGATCTCACCTATAAGTGGAATCTATTCAACAAAATAAACTAACGAACAAAATAAACCACAGGCATGGAAACATGGAGCAGACTAAAAGTGACCAGAGGGGCTGGGGAAAGGGGACAATGGTGGAAAGGAGAAGGGACTAGACAAGGAACATGTATGAATGACCGATGGACATGGACAACAGAGTGAGAATTGACTGCGGGAGCAGGGGACAGAGTGGGAAGGGTGGAGGAGGGCAAAGGGAAAAATTGAGAAACTGTAATAGAATAAACATGACTTAAAAATAAAAAAATTTAAAAAGTTTTAAAAAATGAACAGTAGTCACGATATATCAGGATCACCAGGGAAGCTTTCTAGCCATCCTAGACGCCCCAGCCCACACTTGCTGGTCAGAACTTATAGTTTTTGCAAGCTCCTCGGAGACTGTAATACAGAAAGCGATCTTCTGAGGCATTAAACCACCAGATCAGTATGGCTCAGAGGATGGGCGTCCACCCTTGCCAGAGCTGATGGTGCTGAGATAGCCGCATGGCCTAAGAATCAGGATTTGGAAGGTGAGACTAGAAACCAACATTATAAACTAGCTCCCCAGCTGATTCAACTCACTGCGTGCCAGACTCTGCTAAAGGAGTTATAGGGATTATCTCATTTAACACCACAGCCTGTGAGGTAGAGAAATCCTTCGTTACTCCACTTTACCGATGAAGAGAGTGGGGCCCCAAACAGCTTGTGTGTCTTGTGACCGCCAGGAGTCGCCCTGCGTCTCTGCCCCTTGTCTTGGCCCTTGAGTGGGCTGCCTGCTGGTGGGGGGTGTGGGCCTCTCTGCAGGACTTGACTCACAGTCCCCTTTGTTTGTTTCAGAAGCACGAGTTCTCTGTAGACATGACTTGTGAAGGCTGCTCTAATGCAGTCACTCGGGTCCTCAACAAGCTAGGAGGTGAGTAGGTGGCCCTCAGTTGTGGGGGGGCGGGGGGGGAGACCGAAAAACTTTGTGTCAGGTTCAAATGCATGCAGACATGAAGCAGGAGAAGCTTGAGTTTAAGCTGATAATAACAGTAAAACTAATATGCATTGAGTACTTCACATGTGCCAATTACTCTGCTTGGTGGTTTTTTCATTTATTTTTCAAAACCGTTTAGGTAGCTTCTTTGACTGTCTCCACTATAGCAGGAGGGCACTGAAGTTCAGAGAAGTAACTTGACTGAGGTCACACAGCCAGTAAGTGGCAGAGCTGGGATTTGGCCTTCCCGTCTAGTTCCAGAGCTCTGTCAGTACTAGTTAGCATGTTGATAACCTCCAGAGAGATATAGCATCATTATCTCCATTAATATGTTTTAAATGTAACAATTTGAATCAGTCATGTGTAGAACTCCTAAGGCACCTCTTTTGGATATATTTAGAAAACTAGCCCTGGCTGGTGTGGTTCAGTGAATTGAGTGATGGCCTGTGAACCAAAGGGTCGCTGGTTCAATTCCCAGTCAGGGCACATGCCTGGGTTGCTGGCCAGGTCCCCAGTAGGGAGTGCATGAGAGGCAACCACACACTGATGTTTCTCTCCCTCTCTCCTCCCCTTCCCCTCTCTAAAAATAAATAAATAAAAATCCTGTTAAAAAGAAAAAGAAAACAATTATTCTCTTCTAGCCGCCTCAACTCTGAGCTGGGGAAACTGAGGCCCTGAAAGGGCTGTGGTCTGGCCCTGGTGCTCCATGAGGTAATGACTGAGCTGCAGTCAGAATTCTCGTAGTGCTGGGCCAGTCAGTTTTCTAAGATTTTCTTTTCTTTTTTCTTTTTTTAATTTATTTTCAGAGAGACGGGGAGGGAGGGAGATAGATAGGAAGTGAAACCTCCATGTTCAAGAGATATATCCATCAGTTGCTTCTCGCATGCCCCCAGCTGGGGACCTGGCCCGCAACCCAGGCACGTGCCCTGACTGGGAGTCAACCCAGAGACCTTTTGGTTCGCAGGCCTGCATTCAATCCACCAAGGCACACCAGCCAGGGCAGATTTTTATTTTTTAAACCCTGTATAATAATAACCCTGAATTTTCAAGGGGTTCCCATTAGGTGTGATCTTATTAGCATTTAAACCAGTTTTCTGAGCTGCACGTTCCATCTGTGGAATGAGGATATTGTGGAAAGATCCTGGCTGCTGACGTGTCACATGACTGTGGCCGCTCCCCCACAGGCCCGAGTCTCCCCGGCTATCATGTGGGAAAGTCAGTCTGTTTCGGCTTTTGCCGTGGATACTTGGAGTGGACTTCTGCTCAGAAGCCCCTCACGTAGAGAGTGGCACTGTCTGGATGAAACAAGGGTGGGACTGCTTTTTAACAGCTCGAAGACACCTTCCCAGAAACCTGGGCTGCAAGGAACACAATTTGAAATCCACTGTGTTAGATAGTCCCAGAGCCCCTTCCAGCTCTATGATGCCAGAGGAGGGAGACACTCCTGAACCCAGAGACTAAAAGGCAGAGTGCAGCACGGATACATTGTAACACCCACCCACTCCAGGTATCCATTCACTACAAATTCAGCCATTATGATTAAACCTTGTGCCATGTGCTTTTTAAGGCCCCTTGCCTGATGCAGGGGGATCTGCCCTGAACTTGGGCAGGTTTCTCCCTGCCTTTCACTACTCTCCCCACTCGAAAAGGGTCAGAAGGGCTTCGAGTTGCTTGTGGCCCTAGATGAGCAGTCCTGGGCCAGAGGAATCACAGACTAACGGTGTACTTGAACTTGGAAAGACCATAGGGGCTGGCCAACCCCAACTCCTTCAGTACAGATGGGGAATCTGAGGCCTGTAATGGGCAGGACCCAGAAGTCAGTGGTGAAGCCACATCTAGAACCTATGAAGAGCCTTCCCTGTGCGTTCTGCTGTCTCAGTAAGACCCAGTCAGCGTATTCCCTTGTGCCGCTGGGGGGCTTTTAATGGCACAGCCCTTGAAGAGGACAATTTTGCAATATCAATTAACATTGAAAAGGTGCCAGTCTGTTGCCCCCCAATTTGCATTCTGTGAATTCACGGTACAGAAATGTTTTCACAGGTTTTACAAGATATGTTCAGGTACGTTGACCATGTCATTGTTGTGGTGAGAGGGAGAAACTGGAAGCAACCTCAGTGTCCTTCCGCAGGGGACTGGGTAGGCGTACGGCACATCCACATTATGGATCGTGGCGTAGCTGTTAAAAAAAAAGAGTATAGTAAGTCTGTGTATGCTAAAATGGCAAGATATCCTGGCCATTGGAACGTGAAATATTGCGGGACCTGTTTCTGCAGTATGATGCCATTTAGGGGAGTTATTTTCCATTTGTCTGATCGGGAAAAAGACTGGGTAGATGCCACAGTATTTGGGGTGATCTCTAGAAGGTGAAGAGAGTAGGGGCCTTAATACCTTCAACTTTATCGGAAATGTTTGCCCTTTTTTTTCAATGCTTTGTCTCTATTGCTTTTGCAAATCTAGAGCAGGGGTCAGCACACTACAGTCTTACGGGGAAGTTTCCTGATCCCTGGGCCAGAGAAGAGCGGAAGAGTAGTTGTGAATAAGGACTTCAGAGCCTGAGCTCTTTCTCGCTCTAACGGTGAGGGTCTCTGTTCCCGAGGCCCACACCCTCACTCCACTTCCTCTTCCTGCAGGTATTCAGTTTGAGATCGACCTGCCCAACAAGAAGGTTTGCATCGACTCTGAGCACAGCGTGGATGCTCTGCTGGAGACCCTGAAGAAAACAGGGAAGACTGTTACCTACGTCGGCCCCAAATAGCGAGGGCCTGGACCTCCGGCCCGCAGGATGGACCAAAGTGGGCAGGTGGGTGAGGCCCCAGCACTGCGGCAGAATAGCTGATTATCTAATGCAAATCCCATGTCCAGGGAGCCCTCACAGCCCTTGTGAGTAGAGACTGCACTATGGAATGTCTCCCAGGACCCCTTTTATGACACGTGGGTGCATTTTGTGACCAGCCAAGTTTACATTTGGGGCATATGACCCTGAACTGTGTGTCTCTTGCTTTGGTCAGTTGACTGTCCCATCAGAGCTAACACCTGTGCCCTGGCCTCTTGCCTGTGGGCACCAACCAGGTGAGTTCATTCTGACTGGTGCAAAACGGTCAGGTGTCTAAGCTGGCTATTCCCGCTGATTTTACATAATCCAGGAGGCAGACAAGTGGCCCTGTGCCTGCACTCTTCCCTAGGGCACCGGGGCAGGCCTCGCTCACCCACCCAGTGTTCCCTCTGTGCCGGGCTCCTTCACGCCCCGCCCTCCCCCCAGCTGTCGCTGCCCATACAGTGCATTTGATGTGGGAATTGCAGCGATTGCCACATCCCTGTGGTCTCACTCTAATGGAGGACAGTGAGGCCTGGAGAGGGGACGTGGTGTGACTAACGCCCCACACAGGCGCCCGGCAGAGGCAGGGTGAGAGGCCTCCGGAATCGGGGGTCTGCAGTGGCTGATGGCAGTGTCCCCTGACTGGGCCCGCGGAGGGCCCCCAGGCAGAGGCAGCCAGCTTACGACTGACTGCTGGGCCATGTCAGTCCCCTGCGAGCACAGCCCCCTTCCTACAGGTTCCGCTGGAGTCTGAGCCAGGGCAGTGGACTGAGTATATAATGACCTCACGTGCAAATCATGAGATGTCAGATGTGTCTGTTTTCCTCATCCCCTTTCCATCCATGGATGCAACTCAAGTTCAGGATGAGCACAGGATGAATAATCAGAATCACAGCCCTGCCCTCATTGCATGCCTGAGCTTACATGCTGGAGACTCAGTCTCTCCGTCGGCAAAAACGGGGCTCCACCCTCTCCCCTGCTTCCCTGCCTGGCAGGGGTTCCCGTGAAATCCCTCTGAAAATGAAGGGTTGTCTCAGAGAGGCTGAGGGCTCCAGCATGTTGCAGACCAGTGCTCGCACTTACTCCTGCATCACTAGGGTTTTGTGGGAGGATGAGGGGAAAGCCCTCTGGTGAGAGGGGATGGATGGAGGGAGGGAAGAGAGAAACCTGCCTGAGCTGGTTATACACATGGGTGAGCTCCCATGTAGACAGAGAATTGGAATCTCCTGGCCTAGGCATGTGAATTTTGCTTAACTAACAATGTAATACCTGCTGGTTGTAAACCAAGCTTGGTTTCATGTTTGTCTCATAGTATTTTTTAAAATTGAGGTGAAATTCACATAACATGAAATTAACCACCATCTAGTGTGCCATTCGTGGACACTTAGTATATTCACAATGTTGTACAATCACCACCTCTCCCTAGTTTCAAAAGTTTCATCATGTCAGAAAAATTCCCTGTACCCCCATTAAGCCCTCCCCAGGGACCCCCCCCCCACCCTGCCACCATGCACATCTACTCTTTGCCTCTCTGGATTCACTTATTCTGGACTTTTCATAGAAAAGGAGTCATACTTGCAGTCAGGACAACAGTGTAGACAGACATGGCTTGCTTCTTCGCACAACCACATCAAAATTACAACTAAAATATAGAACCACCATCACGCAGAACTATCAGAAATTGAGTTAAATGGAAGTCTGACAACTACAGAATTAAAAGAAACCACATCCATCCAAACTGGTAGGAGGGGCACAGATGCAGAACAGGCTGGTCCCTCACCCATGTGTCATGAATAAAAATTTGGGAGGGATATCTTTGGAGCAAGGAATCCCAGCCCCACGCCAGCCCCCCAGCCCAGGGTTCCAGTGCCAGGAAGATAAGTCCCCACATTTTCTGGCTGCAAAACCCATCAACAATTGAGTTGGTGGAAGAAGCTGCGGGAGCCCCAAGCAGTTCCTCTTAAAGAACCCACACATGGACTCACCTAACCAGACTCACTCCCTCTGAGCCCCAGCACCAGGGTAGCAGCTTGAAAGGCACCAGTGATATACAGGGAGGAAATGAAGTGCCTGGCATCAAGGTGAAAAGAGGACATCGTCCCTTTTCTAAACCCTCCCCCCACAGAGCCAGCAAGGTGGTGCCATATCTGAGACTCCACCAACCTGGCTAACACTGTTGGACCTGCTTTGGAGATCCCCAGAGACTCTGCCCCACCCAACTTATGGGCCCACCCAAGCTACTTTTCCATGTGGCTTGTCTTGGCTCACTTTACAACTCATTAAATTCTATCAAGTAAACAACAGTTGGCCTCAGTGAGCCCCAGGCCCAGCTCTAGCAACAGCCAGCTTAGATTCGAGGCTTGGCTTCCCCTGGGAATCTCCAAGCCCAGCACAAGTAGCAGCCATCTCAGGTTGCTTTATAGCTTAGGCAGGGTGCCCCAGGCAAAACAGGGGTGCCAGAAGGAGAAGAGAAAGAGCAAGAAATAGGAAATCTATTTGGAAAAAATAATGAAAGAAAACTTTGCTAATTTGGTGAAGGAACTAGACATACAAGTCCAAGAAGAACAGATAGTCCCAAACAAGATGGATGCAAAGAGGCCCACTCCAAGACACATCATAATTAAAATGCCAAAGGTTAATGATAAAGAGAGAATCTTAAAAGCAGCAAGAGAAAGGAAATTATTTACAGGGGAATTCCCTTGAGATTGTCAGCTGATTTCTCAGAAGAAACTTTTCAGGCTAGAAGGGATTGGCAAGAAATAGTCAAAAGTCATGAAACAGGGACCTACAGCCAAGATTGCTCTCTGCAGCCAAGCTATCATGTAGAATCAAAGAGCAGATAAAGAGCTTCCCAGACAAGAAAAAACTAAAGGAGTTCGTCATCACCAAACCATTATTATCTGAAATATTAAAGGGACTTATTCAAGAAAAAGAAGATCAAAACTATGAACAATAAAATGGCAAAAAAATACATATTTATCAGCAAATGAATCTGAAAATCAAACTAAGCAACCAAGAATACCAGAGATAGAATCATGTTTATGGAGAATGTTTTGATAGTTGCCAGATGGGAGGGGATTAAGAAGTACAAATAGGTAGTTACCAAATAGCCAAAGGGATGTAAAGCATAGGAAATGGAGTAGCCAAAGAATTTATATGCATGACCATGGACATGAACAATGGTGCGGAGATTGCCTGAGGGAGTAGGGGGGGCGGTGCTGGGTGGAGGGGAGCAAAGGGGGGAAAATCAAGACAACTGTAATAGCATAATCAATAAAATATAATTTTAAAAAAGGAGTCATACAGTAGGTGACTTTTTGTGTCTGGCTTCTTACACTTAAGCATCCTGTTTTCAAGATTCATTTCAGCGGTATCATGGGTCAGTACTTCATTCCCTTTTATGGCTGGATAATTATCATACTAGTTTTTATGTATTTTAGCTTTTTTTAAATCATAGGAATATTCACCTATCTACAACTGGAGTAGTAAAGATGATTCCCCATGTACTCATCACCCAGCTCCAATAATTGTCCAGTCACTGCTATCACTGTTTTATCTATGGCCCCACCCCCTCATTGTTCCACAGAACATTCTAGACATCCTATAATTTTATCTGCATATATCTTAGTAACTGCGTGCAGTGTGGGAGGGCTCCCTGAAATTCGGATGCATGCACTGGGCGAGAATCACCAGTCAAGTACTTTGCCCTACACACCCAGGCGACATCTCGTCTTTGAGTCTGTTTTAAACCCCCCTAACCAATGACTGATTTCAATCCAGTTTTGGGAACCAGAGCTAGAATGTTTATTGGTTATAAAGTCACCTTGATCATCTGGCTCATGGCAGATTTGTTTGCTCGTGATCTTGTTCATTATTCAAGCGTAAGTTGAAACAGGAGAGGGAGTCCTGTCCCACTAGCCCTGGGAGCTCCCCAGAAGAGGCCCTCAGCAGTGATTGGCTTAGCAAGGTTAATGGGTTCCAGTCAAGCTGAGAATAACAGACTTGGGAGCAGCATGCAGGGCTAGACACTGGGCTTTTAGGTCTCCAGCACCTGGGTTTCCCAGCTCACCCGCTACAACTTCCTCTTAGTGAGCCCTTGCTTCTGCAATGCTTCCACATGCACAGCAGATGGCGTCTTTGTTCCACCTAACATCTCATCTCTTCCAGGCCTCTGATCCTCTCCTGCCCTCCAGACAGATGGGTACCTGGCAATCCTGCTCAACGTTGGCAGTTTCTGCAGAGACCCCTCACTTGCCCTGCTCCTCCTTAGCTTTCCTGCAATAAAGTCGAACTGCTTTTGTTGGAGATGTTGTCTCTTATGTAGTCTTGATGTAGTTGCTTACGTGCTATGCTGTGATACTCACACGTTGCTAGGAAGGAGATAATTGCAATGCTTATTTGGGTTGGAGTTCTCAGAGCTCCCAGCTGGAAGTAAGAAGCCCAGTGGATTTTGATTATTTGCTGTATGATCTTTTGCAAGTCACTTAACCCCTCTGGGCCTCACTTTTCCTCATCTATAAAGTGAAGGTGTTGCGTTAGATTGGTGATATTTCTTTTCATGATTTTCTTAGAGTCCATATTTTGAAAAACTTTTGTCCTATCAAGTGAATGTCAAATCTTAAGACAGAAGAATGGGAAGAGGCAGGGAAGACAGACTGCCTGGGATAGAGTCCAAGCACAAGTACCTCTCCGCTGGGCCAGTTCACTTCTCCGTGTCCACAGGATAAAATGCGACAATAGAACCTCTTGCAAGTGGCCTTTGTGGGGATTAGATGAGGCAACTCATGTAAATCACTTACAGTAGTGCTTGCCAGTTAGAAATCATTCAGTAAATACTCTGTTCACATATTTTTTTGTGTTTTTATTAATCAAAGATGTTGATTATAATTTCAGTCAGCCTAAAAATGAGGATTCCAACCAACCTAAAAATTAGGGCCTCACAAGCACAGACTTGATTCATCTATGTCAAAACAAAGGGAATGTTTCAGTTTGTGCAACTTTATTGTTTAAAGTATTCCTTTAAACCAGCAGTTCTCAAACTTTTTCATCCTAAGACCCATTTACACTCTTAAAAATTATTGAACATCTTGAAGGGCTTTTGGTTACGTATGAGCCATACCATATTTGAAATTAAAACATGGGTTTTTGAAACAAGAGCACACAGATGTGCACCACGCCAGCCATCAGGACCAGGTGAGGTCATTGCATAGCAAGTTGATTCTGGAAATTTCATTGGACAGTATCTTATGAAAATAGTTTTTACCTCATGTACCTTCTGAAAGGTCTTGGCAACCACGTGTTGAGAATCACTGCTTTAACCCTTAACGTTTATTGGGCAGTGACTGGGGACCTTGGGGTAAAACCTGGCTCTGTACTTGGCCACCTCTGACCTTGGACCAGCCACCTAATGTCCCCCAGGGGCAGCTCCTCAGCTGCACAATACACAATACCTGCACCTCAGGGAACGTGGCAGCCAGAAATAAGACTTGGTTTTGACGGGAAACTGGGTGCCAGCATAATTTTCGTTCCATTATGAAATTATTAAACAAGTCCAGGCATTTCTGCCTTTGAGGTCCCTCCGGGGCACGGGGACTCTCCCAGCCTTCATGGTGTCTGGGATTCTTGGCCACAAGATGGCAGTGTCCTCTGGATTTACCCATCATGGGAGGAGTCTGTTTCTGTGGGCTCTGGGACTATGAACTTGAGGAGGTTTTCCATTGGCTTCCACAGGAGACCTGATTTAGGCTGGCCGGCCCATCGGGAACGCCTGAGGGTTGAGACACTGATGCCTCTTGGGGTGAGCAGTCCGAGCTCCTTTGCTTTGGCTCTTCTCTGTGCCACCCTCCGCCTCTGGAATCCAGGTTTCCGGCTGAGGCCCCGGAGAGCTGGGGAAGCTCCCGCGCCTGCCCGCAGCCCAGCTGGCGGTGCGTGGGGCAGCGGAGGTCGCACAGCAGAGCGAGGGCCTCTGCGGGGGTGGGATGGGAGCAGCTGTGTGCTTCCCCAGCACCGGACCCAGCCCACCTTTCCCAGCCAGCTCCTGCGGTCTGCCCGGTGTCTTCCCTCTGCTCAAGCTGTCCTTCTGTGTACAGAACGGTTCCCTCCACATGCCTTCCCACCTCGGCCTGTCTCCACGCGCGGATTGTTTTCCCTCCCTTGCATAGCACAGCCTCCACGAAGCCTCTCCACAACTGGAAGTAATTTATTCCTCCTCTTGGCCCTCACAGCACTTGTCCCACCAGCTTCCATGTTGTGGCAAAGCTTTTGGTCCACATGTCTTACTCGTCTTCAAGGACCAAGTCAGGCATCCATTCCCTCAGCGCACGGAACAGGCACTAAGGCAATATTTGATGGACGTGTAGTAACCGCCATTTGGGGAGCGCTTGTCTATCATGCCCTTGCATTAATCTCATTCCATCCTATCTGGTCCCCATGAGACAGTGGAGTAGCCCATTCCACAAGCCCAATATTAAGCCATGTTCCAGCTCAGCAGGTCTGTATTGAAATTCTGCTTCCATGACTGGATAACGACGCAACCTTGGAAAAGTTGCTGATTCTTTTGTGCAACTCAGTTTCCTCAATTGTAAAATGGGGATCATAATACTACCTACTCCAGGTGACTACTGTGACTTATAAGATCCATCACATGCCTAACACTTGACGATGGCACCCCACAAGTAAAGCTTTTGAAAAAATGTATTGATTGAGAGAGAGAGAGAAACATTTATTTGCTGTTCTACTTATTTATGCATTCATTGGTCGATTCTTGCACCCGCCCTGACCCAGGATCAATCAAACCCGCAGCCTTGGCATATGGGAACGACACTTTAATCAACTGAGCTACCTGGGCAGGACCAAATACAATTTGAAGTTTGAAAACTGAAATTTGAAAAATCCAGATCTAGATCCTTTCAACCATGGCAAACTATGAAAAATAAAAACAGAGCCTTGAGCGCGACACAGTGTGGGAGGGGAGCGGCGGTTGTTGGGGACGTGGCCTGCTTTGTGGCATTCTCCTTTAATTAGTGGCAGCCTCTTAAAAAACCCAAGTCTGTAATTTCTGGGGTGTGGCCGGCAGAGCTGCTTTTAGATTCCATGTCTTCAGGGGCTGTGGCCACAGAGTTTCAGCAGAGAAGTTTCCTAATCCGCTTCCTAAGGGAGAAGGCCTACACATCTCGTGACTGCAGACTGGAGCCTGGAAATAAAACATCAAAGGCTCTGGGAAAAAGGATGTTATCTCCCATTGGCCTCTTTATCATGGGTTCCTAGCATCCTAATCCTTTTGGAATAAGAGATCCGCAGGCAGCGAGAAGCAGGCTGCATCTTGGATAAGGGTGCAGGCGCTGCAGACAGAGGGGGTCAGTCCCAGCCCAGCCCTTTACTTGGGCTGGGCAAGCTGTGTGAGCTTGGGCAAGTGGCTTAACCATCCGGGGTCGTGTTTTCTCATCTGTAAATTTGATGAGAAACCTAAGAAGGTACAGATGTAAACTATACCTCCTTAGACTGAAGTGAGACAGTGTGTGCTCAGCGTGGCTATCGTTAGTATCACAGCATCTTAGGAAACAAGAAGACCTAGCTGGTCATCCAGCCCGACGCGCACATCCCCACTGTCGGTGGCCCCAAGTCTCAGCCTGCACGCCATTCCTGAGGAGGAGCCCCAGGAGCTACTTGCTCTACCCTGGGCAGCCCTGTGAGGGACAGTTCTGGTGCTAACCCCACCTTTGTCTCCGTGGCACTTCTTAGGGAGTCAGGGATTGTGCCGACAGGCAGGCCATCCCCCTAGCCCTTCCCCATGGGGGTTCCTCAAAGGCAAAACCTGCTTCCCCTGTCCCCTCCCCTCTGCCCCTCTACCCCACAAGGAATACCCCAAATTCCCTCCTCGGCCCTTCCTCAGGGACAGGGCTGGAGTCACCAGCCACCATCATTGGCCTCTTTGTTGATGCCCTTTTGATAGTGTTGATGCCCTGTTGATGGCAAAGGGCAGGCAGCTCTGCGCCCCACGGATCCACGCATCCTGGTTTCCCGGCTCAGCGTGGGAAAGCCAGACTGAGTCCAGAGAGCACAGGGTCCTTGAACGGAGGGAACCTGGGCTGGTTGCTTTTCCTCTCATGGCATCTACTTCACAAGTGATGTGCATAAAGCACACAGCAGGTAGTTGGTGCTCAATCAAAGCTGCACTCTATTTACATTTTTGAGAAGGTATCTGAATCCTACCACTTTGTAAAAGGACTATCAGGCAGGCCACATCCCACTTCAGACCCGGCCCCTGCTCTGCTCCATCACTGCCCCTCCCAGGGTCCAGTTTGGAAATAGCCTTCACGAGGCCGCCATTTGTGGGTACCTGGCTCCTATTTTGGTCTAAACAGAAGCTGTGGTTCCCTCTACATTCCTAGTAATTAGAGAGGCCAGAAAAGCCATTGGTATGGTAGGAAGGGCCCTAGGGAGCGGTTGAAGGATAAAGCCTGGAGGAGCAACCTGGACTTGCTGAAATCTCCACATTTTTGTTGCAAAGATCCTTGTTGGGAAAACGCCCGGCCTGGTTTCAGGAGCTGTAACCCTGCCGACAGGCTAGAGGGCTCCAAGGCGGGAAATATTCAGGAGGCCTTGGGAAAGCAGGCTTCTGAGGAGACTTGGCCTGTCCCCCCGCCCCCCTGCCACCGGCAGGGGCATAGCCCCTGCCTCTCTGCTTTGCCACGGAGGGCCGGTGGCCAATGACAGGTAAGTTGCCTCGCACGGAGATAAATTACCTAAGACAGGCCCTGGTCAGTATTGGCAGCAGACAAGAAATTGGGGGACACAGAGAAGGGGCAAAAAGGCCCCCACACCTCTCGGCTTGGCTTGGACATGGCCAGAGTCCTCATTGCAGCCAAGAAGCAGTCTCCTTATCTCTTGGTGGTCCCCTCCCACCCCCCAACTCTCCCACCCCCACCCCCGGCCGGGCTCAGGCTTGAAGCAGTGCAGGAAACAGCCCTAAATCAAGTCTGGCGGATCCCGGGAAATCAGGCCTAAAAGTAAATTCTTTAGAGTGTGCTCTGTTCCTCCCTCAGATCTCTGGTCAGCTCATGCTGAGAAGGACATTTACGTTATTTACCCCCCTTACCTTTTATCATTAAGGCGCTTGCCCTTATCTTCATTCTCTTTTGTTTAGACTGGTCTCCTCTCAGACCCATGCAAATCAGTGAATTCCTGTCACTTGTTTTCTTCAAAATATCTATTCTCTGTGAAACTTAACATGCTAATGTAATGAGTGTATGTATGCATTCCTGTTACCTAGCCCACTGATAAGTTTTTTAATAAAAGACTTGG